AGCCCCTTCCCCTTTGTTTGGGCAAGAGTGCGTCGCTTCCTACACTATAAATGGACAATGCTCGCGAGAACACACCTTTCTGAAACGAGGAACCCCTAGCCTATAAGGGGTATATAACTAGCCTATAATTTTGCACTAACGTTGTACTAATTTCGTACCCAAATAAAAAAATGGACTCTACTATAAACAATACAAAAAAACACTTCCAAATAGCGGGGTGTCAGCTGGAAGTCAAATGGGCACCCCACTTCTCAAAAACTCGAAATCAACTAGCCTATAACCTTATACTAATAACGTACTAATTTTGTACCAATATATTCAAAATGTACGTAACTATGAACAGTTAAAAAACAGCAAGCGACGAAGCACTTTTCACGTAAATTTGCTATTTTCAAAACCCATTTTGAGTCAAATCTTTGAGTTGAAATTTATAATGCACTTAGGTACTACAGTGATATTTTACGTATAATAATTACCATTTTTTATCTGGTCCCTCAACAGAGATATTACAGTACAGTCACGCAAAAATTGCGAGCGGCAAAAAACAGATGTGTCCGACATCGCACCCAAGCGAATCTGTACGTTGTTTCCTAGTTTCATTGCATTACTGTATGAAGTGGGAAAAGTATGTAAATTATCCATATAATTAATCCAGATATTTTCTACATTTGAACATTTTTAAAGTATATAGTATTCATAACCGAAAAAGGGTTTTATAAATATGTTTTTTGTTATTTAAGGCCGCATCAACTTCTAGGTCATTAGTGACCACTATTGCCAGTAACGGTATTGTAACTATGAGGATGATATGATATGATGATACGGGGTGAAGAGGCGAAGACAATACAACCATGCCCGAGGCGGGACTCGAACCCGCTATCCTTCGGGCGGATTTTCTCAAAAACCGCTTTCAATCTTTTCTTTAAACTTTTGGTAAGGATAGTGCTAAATGTACTCTTTAATATGACATAAACGACATACTGCTCAGTTGTTTTGTTTTTCAAAAATTACAAAAATGTACATTTTTACATGTCTCTCACGTCGTTAATATTTACGTTAGCGGCGATTTTTTCACATTATTATATTTATGAGTCCATGTGCTTTAAATAATGTCAGATAAAGATTTTTCAAAACTCAACCATTTTCTGTAAATACTAGCTCATAATTTCGCATTTTCAGGAACGCCAAACACCACTTTCTCAAAATCAACTTCAATTTTTTCCGCAAACTTTTCGAAGGGATAGTGCTAAATGCACTGTTTAGTATGACATAAAGTTAATTTTGTAGCTCAAGTTGGGGTTATTAAATCCAGCACGAAAGCAACTTAACGATACTACAGTTCTAACACCGAAAGTTAATAATTTTTCTTCTATCTTGATGAGGGATACTTGGACAAACATTTGAGAGAATAATTCTTTTGTTCCTAGAAATTAATGGTCTTATAGGGAAGGCTAGATTAGACACAACGATGCCTTTAAGAATTGAAGGCTAGATCATCTGCGATTTCCTTACTGGGTAGATAAACACACAGTCTGTTGTTCGATATTTTCGAGGCAAACTTGATATGAGAGGGGGGTAGATTTTGGTGGATAACTTTTCAATCAATTCAACATTCGGCGCACTATTTGCCGAATCTATAATGATAGCATTTTCTTTCTTGGGAAAGAGAAATTGCAAAGTAACTTTAGCATAATTAATTGTAGCCTTACTGTCTAGTTTCCTGAAGATTGATCAACTTGAGAGGACTCCATGACGTTCACGAAAAAAGGTAAAAAGAAACTTTTCACTTAGTTAAGCAATATCGCTTCACTTAAGAATAACTCCAGTTCCACCACGTTTTACATGTGACTGACTGACAAGCCCCGAGTCAGTGAACACACGCACAACGTGATTTTGCCCGGAGCGGACGGAACGTCTGACCACCAGGGCAGTCAGGACGCGACTGTAAAGATATTTTGTTGATTGAATCAGCGTTTAAAAATATTTGGAATTTCTAGTCAACGTGTGTGGTGTCATAGTTGCAGTCTTTATGACTCATCCGCTTCTCGACATCGGAAATTCATGGAACCTTATTGCCAGGAAGCTAATTAAAACCAGTAAAGAATTTCTCTTCTCAAATTATTGTATAATTAAATATTAATCTTGTAATTACCTCGGTTACAAGTTTTATGAACATTCATTTTAAGATCATACATTTTAAGAAGCATGGGATATACGGTTTCTATTACTGAGTTATTTTTCCTCAAAAAGTTGATATCGTCTTATTGATGTTTAACATGAATTTTCCAACTACGATCAATCAGTCTTATATTTAGTATCACATTTCATTTGTATTATAATAAAATTATTGAATTTACCTTGAAATACGAGGCGAGAGGTTGTCGCTTTGTTTATTTTCGATTGCTGTCGATATGGTTCGATTTGTTTTGACGAATGCAGTTGCAAGAATTCTTGTTTTGGTTATAATTTAAATCCTTTCGTGTTTTCCCAAATCTGTACATTATTCATTTTTTTTAAAATACGCATCATATTTTTGATTTCTACATTAGTTTCATTGTCGATTATCATATTTCTATACTTAAAAATATATTTCACTGCAAGAAACCATTGGTGTATTGTTTACACGGACAAACTTCATAATATTACTTCTCTTGTTTCTAATATGTGTTATTACTCAACTCCTTGTATAGACCTACTTTGAGTAAACGATCTACAAGTGTAATTGACTGAAAATGCTATTTAAACGCGTAAATTGTGTTGTTTAGTACTTAAACGAAAAAGTGTTGGGACAGTTACATTGCATTGCTACTTTAACAATACTTCAGAGTTTACCCAAACGTGAAGCTATGCAGGGAGTAAAATAAAAACGAGGCTGTGAAGTTTGATGGGTAAATGTGGCTGTTAACCAAAGGGATCATTCCAAAGTGGCTGAAAACTTACTGCGCATTAAAATTTTTGCAACGCCACAATTGTAAAACCTTCATAAAATGTTAAACCTCTCTGTAAGCGGTGCTAAAGCAACCACAAACAGCGGCTGCGCTCGCCGCGCCGCCTGGGGTAATCCAGATGCCCAGAATCGTCTCGGCGGTTGGCCGCCTTGAGAGATAATTGAACAAACGAAAAAAATAACGCAAAGAACGTAGTAAGAGGAATTTCTTCGCGGAGGCCGCGTTAAAAGTACTGCAGATTCAAGGAGGGATTCCTTTGTAGCGAGCAGTGTAGTTAGGCTCCTCTTATAAAATATGGAAGCGTTAAACCCCCAGCATTCTTGCGTCCAGGGCGTCCTTGCATGTACTGAAGGATGGTCTGCACAATTTCTGGGGAATAAAATAGAAGTACGTCACGTAGGTATCTTGCATGATACTGCCTGTTTTCCCTGTGAAACAGTCGTCATATAAGCGTATTGGTCTGATGTAAGATTTTATTGACACTCACATGCCAACCGACAAAAGTGTCATGGTGTGTGTCGTATGAAAAGCAAATGCAGTATTTTCTACTTTTCTTTGTTTAAAAGTCGTCAAGCTTGCGTTGTAATCATATTTGAATACATTTTACAACTATTTTGTACAGGATTCTTTCGAAACCCGACTGAGTATTCAAAATAGTTTGTATATAAAGTACGTAAAATATTTTTTCATCACCGATATTGAGTTTTTTGCAAAGAACAATCCGTGTCGGCAAAATAGCAAATGATATCCAGCAAGAAACATTTCCTTGACTTGCGAAATATTAACAAAATTGTTAGGAGAGCATGCAAATGTTTCTATTACCAATGTCGATTTGTTTCATTCCTGGTCTCCATGGCTTCAACGAAGCGCAGTCTTCTTGAATGATTGTTTAAAAGAAGGAAATAGTCTGGAACCGTGTAAGCAAGTAAAGCGTTACTGACCCCTGCGAATTTTTACTCTGTTACTGGATCGTACTTTATTCAATTTAAAATGAATGATGATAGTTATATCACGTGAATTAATAAATGTGATACCAGGTACACTTGCGAGAAAGTGAGAACGCTGTTTTATATTTATAACTGACAAACAACCTACCTGTTATGTGAATGGGGGTTGACGACAAATTGAAAGTGATAGAAAGCAGAAAGGCAGCGGAGATAATGTATAATGTGTGAGAGGACTGTGAGTGAGAACAGTAAGAAGACACAGTGTGTACAGGCGGTGAGTACAGGCAGTAAGGTCGGGCTTTCGAGAGACCGAAGAGGTAGTGCTAGTCGGTTTTCTTTTGTGCCTTGCTACGTAGGTAAAAATGTAAACTTGCGGAGGAAATCGGCGACTTTTAGGTATAAAAACGTATTGTCGGCCCCTGGTTATGAAAAAAATGATAAATTACGGTGTACACGTTGTGTACTATAAGACGTTATATACTCAGAACCTAAGTTTTTTAAGGCTTAGACACATAGAAATCGATTGACCGAAAAACGTCTATGTCTGTCCGTCCGTCTGTCCGTCTGTACACACCGCTAGCGGCTAAATTGTTCTTCGGCTAAATCGAAATATGCTCTTTAATACTTGATCTTAAAGTAATATAAATGAAAATATCTGATTTTGTGAATATTGCAAATGCAAATGGTACGATATTTTAAGCGTTATTTTGAGCTGTGAGTCTAGTGGTGTATGGGTAACGCTATTGTCATAGCGACTCCGAGAATCTGATTTGGAATTCCTGCGCGAAAAACTAATTTTTGCTGATTCGAAAAACGTTTGCAGGTTAATGTGATATTATAATATTATGGTATCCCTTACAAGTAGTGTGAGAGTAATGAATTGCTGTATCCCACTTGTTTTGTATTATGAATTCACCATCATAACACCGAAACGTATTTTTGGCACCGCGTCGTCATGTTTTAGCATATTTTAATAAAAGACTTCACTGTCGCTAAGCTTTGCGTAAAAGGTAAACCACAACCAGGCCAGGAAATTGTGTGCCGAGCGCAACGCTACGACCACCTTTACCCCCAGAAAAGACCCTGTACGCACTTGGAAAGGAGGATGAGTCGACCGCAGCACAGCCTCTCTGAATGGAAATCACCAAATGAAAATCCCAAACCACATCGGGATTCAAACCTGGGCCCTTCAGTTCAAGAAGCCGGCACCTCACCTCTGAGCCACCAAGCCTCGCCTTGGCTTCGCGTGAAAGGTTCGTTTTCATGCATCATACAAAAACATTCGCTTAAATAGTCACTTTCACAACATTGAAATAATACCATCCAAATGTCATCTCACTCTAACAATTCACACACATGCTCATATGATAGCGAAGAAAATTTGTTACGAATGCACGTTAATATCATGGTCGCGGGAATCCGCAATGCTACTAACAAACGTTGGAGCTTTGACCAGGTTCAGGCCGCGTCGAATTTGTGGTTTACCTTGCAAAATTATCCTAAACGAAATGAGCCGGTTTAGATGGCGAACCACTAGGTGAAGTTATGTGAGTCATCAAAGATGGAGTATTAAATTATATGGGGAGGTGATGGGATATTATATGGGATATTATATGAGGTATTTTACAATATAAATATATTTTTCTGATCGTTAAAGATCGCATTTACTTCTTGCATTGGAAACTGTTTATATGAAGTTTATATGGATATATTAGAAAGTGAAACAATCATGAAAAATTCATTTTATTTGTTGAAGTTATTACTACCGACCTTATGCTACAATTGTATTACAAGGCGAAGTGGACTATGTACTCGTTTATTCCTGATTAATAAAGTCACATCTTCTGATGTATCGTTTTATCACATCTGTACATTTTGAAGTCACGAATATGAAATGCATCTTCAGAAGGAATTGAACTTTGCTTAGAACTGAAATTTGATAGTTTAGTTGGTCGCATCAACTACTAGGTCATTAGCGACCACATTGATTTGAACGTTAGAGTATCCGTAAGAGTACACATCCTGTTGTCAAGAGGACCGCCAGGAAGCATCCCCGCGTACACGCCTCTTCACACGCGCTCCTGCGTCACTTTCCAGCGTCCAGAGTTGCGAAGGAATTAGGATAGGGGTTAGACACCTCACAGAGGTTGGACTAGCTCGTTTTTTCGGAACACATTTCACATGGGATTGTCTGGATATCGAAATCGGACCTCTTAAATGAAAGGCGAGCGACTTCGCTCTGAGCCATGAGATGATGTAGAATGTGATGAAAAGTTGGGTTTACCTGGTTGCTATTATTTTTCATTATAATATGAAGCACGTTCCTTGGAAAATCATCTAACGAGTCTGTGGGTTGATTGTAGCTATGACTGGAGACGTTATATCATTAATGAGATTTAAAAGGTCAGGTTGAAATTGTTGAAAAGCTTTATTTGTTTTCCTTGCATATGGCTGACGAAGAAAGGGTGAGATTTAGAAATTTTAGTATTTGGTTTTAGTATTTACACTGATTTGTTCTAAATGTAGGTAAGTCCTTAAATCTGGAATGACCGCGTTGATTGAAATTAGTATCATTCAATATTTTTTTTAAAATCTGTCAATGTATTTATTAGATAATTAATTATACCAATTATAGTTATCTATTTGTATGATTTCTCAAATGCCTTCTTTAAAGGATTCATTATAAATACGATGTGTGTTCAAAAATTGTCTATGAGTAAAAACAAGTTTATTATCTGGTCTGAATATATTTTTCGATTACTGTTCGAACATTTAGGCTTCGATGACAAAATGCAACGAAAAATGGGCTCTCTAAGTTCAATACTTAGGATTTTTTCTGTAAGGTCGCATCAAATACTAGGTTATTAGCGACCACTATTGCGTGTATATGTATGGTAACTAAGTGGATGAGAGGACATGGTGCTGCTGCTGATGATAATAGGGGTATGGAAGGACGAACACAATACAATCATGCCCGAGGCGGAACGCGAACCCGCGACCCTTCGGTCCGAGATCGCTACGGCACTACTGCCTTAGCGATCTCGGCCACCCGAGCCGGCTATTACTTACGTTCGTCATTAACGTTCGTTACTTACGTTCATTCCTTTATCTTACTACATATTGTTAATATAATGAATGAGACAAGCAGTACAGTACAACTTGCATGTACCCTGCGTATCAAATTCGTACTTCGGTACAAAAAAAAAGTATAAGAAAACTTACTATGCTCGCGATTACTGAATTACAGAACAATTATCAAGATGTTATGTTGTTCGTGATATGGCTTCAACTCACATTTTATGAGAGGAATAACTGTGAACTTAACATCGTAAACCGATACTATTTTTTGTCGTTCGATTGGAGCTTTCTACTTGTAATGCTATCATTCGCTGACCCTGACAGTCTTGTGATGGCAATCGTAAGCGTACGGGCAGATACAGCTAGCGCGGGACCTCTTCAAAATAAAGGAAGATAAATCCTTTAGCGACCTCTCCTGTTTCTTGCAGGAAGACGGACGCTGTGGGCCTGTGTAAAGCTCCTAATGCAGCCTCAGCACGTTGCCTTCTTGTTTGCATCGCTGCCCTCAAGGTTGCCATTGTTGGGAGGGGGAGAAAACGTTGGTCGGCCGGGGCGCGTGGGGGGCGTGGAGGGCTGCAACTCATGGGTCCGGAATGCCTCTGGTCCGTCGGCCACGCACCGTCGCACCAACTCGGAGGCAAGTGAAAAACAAATTTTATGTCCTTGTGATTTTTTTATTGCTCTGCTTCCTCGGAACTAATAAGTAGAACAAGTTGGCCTCCTCCTTTCGTTCTTAGCTAATATTCAATATAATGACCCTCGCCTCCTCCGGAGGACTTTCAACGTTCGCCTATAGGCAGCGGGTGGTCTGGGGTTCTTCACAGTAGGTGTTTGAAATGTCTGGTCAATTGCACTATATCTGTTTCACTTCGAACTCTGTTTAGGAAAAAATCATGAAGTAACATGGCATTAGAGGAATTAAATTATTTCGTGGCCTCGACATAATGCGTGTGAAGGTGTATCAAAAAAAAAAAAGATCCTAATTCTGGTATTTGAAAGTGAAGTTGAAAATTCTTGTCTCGATATGTACTAAATCACTTCCTTTAACATGTAGTATAGTCAAAATTCACTTTTTGAGGCTCTTTGGGATCGAAAAATATACTGTAGAACTCCTGTCTGGGCGTCCGTCTGTCCGTTTGCCTGCCTGCTTGTCTGCCCATCTGTAGTCAACTCCTAAACTAGTTTCATATGTGTTTCTCCAAAATTGACATTCTCCAATCAATTTGTGCAAACACAAGGCCCTGCTAATTTGAAATTAATATTTTGAGGGGTACTTTATGCAGTAGTCGACTGCGAACCATTGACAGAACCGCCGGAACCTGGTACCGTCGCCGCTCAAAAGAGGGCAACGACAGCAACCGCTGCGGCGCCATCATGCGCGACCAGGCAACGAAAAAGCAGGCACCACCCCTATCCGGGGGCTGGCCAGCAGACCCTCAGCCCCAGAGGGCTATAAAGCAGCGCCCCG